TTCAGAATGAAAAAAATGGCAGTATTGATGATAACCATACAGAGGAGCTTGCCTGCTCGCTTGGGACAATTTGGCAACTGTGCTGATTGCTTGCACACTTTAACTACTACCAAGATGTACAAAGCAAGAGTGGCTACTAAACAGGTAGTGTTGGTAACGAAATTAATTCAAAAAATGATGTCATTGGGATCACACCAACAATAATTGTTGGCACCCACAGTCCTGCTGATATCTTTGCTGCTCGAGATTTAGAGGCTTTTTCCTTGAATGTCAGAGGATTGCGCACTGCAGAGAATCTCTCAGCTGCTATGATCACTACAAAAAAACTAGAAACAGCAACAAACATGTATTTGAATCCCAGGACATACCGTTATTTTGTTTGACTGTTTTGGATTTCCTCAAAAACAAAAACCGTGAACTAACTATTGACCGTTTTGTCGTTTTACAGTTTTGTAAAACGGTCAAACTGTATTAAGTCACACACATAAAATACTTTTTGTTGTTGTTTTTGATCGTAGAAAGCGTTAAACGGTTAGTTGCTTTATTTTAGAGTGTTGTTTTACAAAATCATGACAATGACAAAATGGTCAATAGTCTTGCCGACCATTTTTTTGATTTGGGTTCGGCAATTAAGCAATGCACCTAGGAATGTTAATGCGTCCTTGGGATCGAGTCATTGCCTGGGCCCTCCTTACATTTTTGTTCTCACGACAGAATTTGCGAATTAGCTATTGAAGAGCCGCGTCGACTTAAACTCTAATTTTCTTCAAAATATCTGCAACTTCATTAAACGTCTTATATATACCATCCTGTATCCATTGTGAAAAGTAATGCCCTCCCTTGCAGTTTTCCAGCGCCAGTTTTGCTTGCAACTATTTAAGCCCCAACAACTGAATCGCATGAAAAGGGGGTCAGGGTCCGCGCCAGGAATCACACCACGCATTAATTATGCCGAGCCAACACTCGTGTAAAGCAGGGTCCCCCTCCATCCCCTTGCCCACCGCCACAAAATGCACCACGAACTGTTAACTATGACACTAAAATAAAAAAACAGTGTGTATTCAATACTGACTGTTTTGCTGTTTTTCAAAGTAATTTGTGTAAAACAAAAATAATCGATCATTATGCTATAATGAATTTTACTAAACTTATAAAACGGAGAAACCGTATTGATATTAATACCGTTTGTCGTTTTATAAAACTGTAAAACGACAACACGGTCAATGGTTCGTTTACTGTTTTTGTTTTTGAGGAAATCCAAAACCGTAAAACGAAATAACGGTATGTCCCGGGATTTATTTGACACTCTGGAATGCTTTGTACACTTCGGATGAACACAATACAAATATACATTGAGTCATAAGGAAGAGCAAGTCAGCCACAGCCAGATTGGATAAGTAGATGTTGATGATTGTACGCATTGACTTCACTCGAATGACTGTGAAGAGAAAGACCAAGTTTAAGAGGAGGCCGATTGGTGCATTGATTTCAGTACTTAACCATAGTATTTGTTAATTTCTTTTGTGAGTCTTGATAAAGTTCTCAAGGTGCTTTTCAACTTCATCGTTCTCCATATCCAACATTTTATTCAGATGTAGCAAAGAGTGTTCTGTCCTATTTCAAGATCACTCCAGTTTTATACTAACAGCGAATATAAGACCTGGAGCAATGTGTAGTTGAAACAAAAAGCTTCTGAATTTTTTCCCCTTAGTGTTTTTTTATCTCTAAGATTTGTAAGGATTAGTTCTTTGTTCCTTGTTTTGAATGCATGCTAAACCAAAGTAGACAATAGAGTTTCACAGTTGACTTTGGCATAGATGTGCTTCAGAATAACTTTTTATTTTCTCTTCAAGACTTTTTTACATGTACATTGTGTAATCCGTCACTAGGTTTTGCTCATATCTAGGTTACTTTAAAAAAAAAAAAAGTGAAATGGCACTCTGCACTTTTTATTAAGTTTTACAGCTCATAAAAGATCACAGACATAACGTAACGCTTGAATTATCTATAACTAAATAAAATTAGATGCAGATCAAAAAATGACACAAAATCTTTCAGGTCGTTCACTACATTTTGCTTACAACATATTTATTTATATCTCACATATAGAAACTTGACACAAGCTTTAGATTTGGTGTTTGAATAATCAAGAAAGACATTTAAAATACAGATACGAATAGTCACTGCATCAACAAAGATTTGAAACCATGGAATTCCTACACTCTCTTGCTTGAAATTGAAAGTGTACATGTACTTAGACTTCTGCTATCAAATGTTATACTAAGAAATTACCCATGAACTTTTCTTTTTTTTTCTTGGCTCAAACTGATGACCAGCTTTGCCAACAGATTGGCTCCCGTCCGTACATTATTGATACTTGTGGGGGGGGGGGGGACCAGCCTACCCAGTAAGAACAGAAATTATGTTTGGCAGCCAATAATTTGGAAAAGTAAAGTAATAATTCAATACCTGAACGTGAGCTTTTTTGTGGTTGGTGTTTCATTCAAAAGTAAATGACTTTTGTATTGCTTGAAAAATAGCAGATTGGTAAAGAAATCTGTTTTTCGGGATGAAACTCGAAAATAGCACAGAACTTAAAGTAAATTCAGTACCTCATCTGGCATTTGTTGAGCAAAACTGTTATGTGGACCGTTTTCCTTGTTTTTTTTCCTAGAAGGTACCAGTGTCGGAGGTCTCGAGGCCGGCCTCGGCCTCGAGGCCGGCCTCGAGGCCGATTTTCATGGCCTTGGCCTCGGCCTTGGCCTCGGAGGTGCAAGGCCTCGGCCTTGGCCTCGGCCTCGGAGCCTTCCGGCCTCGGCGAATCGGTCGAGGCCGGCTCGAGGCCGCCCATTTTGATGTGTTTTCTATTCTAATTAATTTTAATTATTTACCGTATCAAACCCTCGAGATTCTTCTGCAGTGGGTTCCGTGAAACAAACGCATATACAATGTACGCACGAATGAACTGGAAATGGTTGCATTGCACGTACTCGCGTACGTAGCATCTTTGCCTAGCCTGCGCTTCAGCTTTCCACGTGCGTGCAAGCGTTATAACTGTTACCGCGTGCCAGACTATAAGTCTGGCACCCATCCCATCTGAGTACAATAACATGTGGTAGTAGACTAGTCTGGTTGCAGTTTTGTACAAAATTGTCTCGTTTTGCCTCTGTACCCCGACCTTTAGAAATGATTTGCGGCAAGGTGCAGCAAGCTTAATCATTTCTTTTTATAGGCCACTGGTTCAGTAAAAGTCTGAACTTTCTGGGTACGATCGAGTGTACCAGTCCGTACCATTTTTTTTCATAAAGATATGATAAAAACAGTTACGATTTATCAAGTAGATTTTACTTTTACACGGTGATTTAAATGAAAGTTCCGGCTCACACGGTAATGTTTGGCGCAAATGGTCGATAAAGCGCGATTTCAGAATTCGTTTTTCCATCCAAATGAATGCAAAGTTCTGCATGAATGTTTTAATAATAGGAGTCAGTATTCCTCGTGGTACCAGGATACTTTAAAAAAAAAAACATGTTTAGAGCCATGTTGATACTTATTACATGTATAAGCACGGTTTGAAATTGACTAATTTTGCGTGGTTACAGATATACGGCCAAAACCTCTGGACTCCCTAACTCTTGCCATGATCTTAAAATTCTTCGAAGCCATTGGATTCAAATCGGATGATCCGAGAATTCATGGTCATTTTGATGAACTGAGTGATATCATGCACGCATGTTCCGTGTTGCCGTGTTGTTTGGAGCAGGATTGGCCATTGCCAGACTTTGTCTGGTACCGCGGTATTAACAGTGATAATGCGTGGACACTTATACCGTTGTGTGGAGCGGGATTGGAACTATGCTTTGCCCGTGCGTAACGGCGGGACGTCTGGCATTGTCTGGTCGCATCGCAGTGTTTGCTCGGCGCGCGCCTGGACAGTGCGAAGGTCGGGGGGGGGGGTCGTAACTTTTTGGTTATGTGTGGTAAAAACCTGATTGAAAAATCAAGTTGTTGTTTATTTAATGGGGATTCCTATGATATTAAGCATTTTGATAGGTTTTGAAAATAAGATTTATAAAACATGCTAAAAGTAAATAATGTAAATCTTACAGAATAGAAACTCAAAATTTTGCCATTTAAATTGTTGTATCTCCAAAAGGCAAACACCTATGAGCCTGATTCAAACGCCATTGATTTTGTTGTGTAATTTGCTTTCAGTGATACAAAACTTGAGATTTCTTTCTTTAAAAGATAAAATTCGCCGGACTCCCTACAAGAGGAAACCCATTGCAAGCTGTACGGCCTGCAGGCACTCCAAAACTCAGTGAATTCAACTAAAAAGATGTTAAAACTCCAACATAATCTTATCCTTGTTTTAGTGATTTATATTTTATTACGTGTTTTGATAGCTGGCCTCGGCCTCGGCCTTGGCCTCGGAGGTGTTGGCCTCGGCCTTGGCCTTGGCCTCGCGGTTGTGGCCTCGGCCTCGGCCTTGGCCTCGATGGTTGTGGCCTCGGCCTTGTCCTCGGCCTCGGAAGTTGTGGCCTCGACTACAACACTGGAAGGTACAGCATTAAAGGTTGCATGTCTGTGTAGAGTGTGTGTGCGATTCACAGTTTCAGATGGTTCTTATTTTATCTGATAAACTGTCGAAGTTGAACACATTATCCTCATTGTTTCAAGCTTAATCTTTAATTTGCTCATGCACTGCCAGAACTTTGAACTGTAGTTAGGAGAATGGTTGTATGTAGAAAGATGACAAGTTCCACACACAATCCATTACGCTTTGGAGATACGGTGGACACAATACGAGGGCGCTATTTGGTTTAGGTCTAGTCTTTTGCATAAGTTACCCCAATATACCCAAATCAAATAACACCCTTGTATTGTGTCTGCCATATATCAAAAAAAGGCTTATAGCAGTTGAGCTATTCACTTTTTCCAAAATTTGTTAAGACTCTGAAATACTGAATGTGCTTTTCACATCTTTTCCCAATGTACAGGTTAAACAACATGGTGACTCCACTGTGGAACCAGCCGTATGAGGACCAGCTATCTACCAAACAGACCAACACCAGGGAGTTTCTGAGGAATTTATCCAAGATGCTGCAATGGAACATTGGGGAGATGTCTCCCTGTCTGAAGCAACAAAGGTGAGCTACTCACCAAAGACACAGGATGGTTGTGGGCCAGAATGGAAATGTGATCTTCATTGACAAAAAACTGTTTCCAGACACAGTTTTCTGGCAAATGGACTTACATGTTACAGCTGCCCTGAAATTTCATTAAAAGTGCAGAAAATGATGCCTCATTTTTCTTGAGAATCAATTAAAACTCGGCAAACTTTGGGCCAACTTCTGAAATAAACTTCCTTTCCACACACAAAAGTCCCAAAGATTAAAAGGGGGGGGGGATTTAAAAAAAACTGTTTACAAACAAAAAGCAGAAAAATGAACACAAAACCAAACTTCACAATTCATAAGCTGCTCGAATGAGACTCGCACCAACAATCTCCTGCTTCCTAGTGCAGATGTCTCAACTACTTGACCACCAGGCTTGCTGGGGTTGGCTGGCTGGTCCCAATCTGATATAGCAGGTGCCACAATCAATGAGTTTAATTAATTGTTTACGTAGGGGAGTTGTGAATGTGAATACCTGGTTTTGACCTTCACCAATGTAAATTTGAATGCACTGTTTATTCAGTGCTGTCTGAGAGCTTACGAGCAAAGATTCTGCAGGCTTGCTTGGGTGGGATATGAACCCATGACCTCCTGCTTACTAGTGCAGACATCTTAACCACTCAATAACAGAGCTTGCAAAGGTTAGTGGGCCAGTTTGAATCTTGTGCATATATAGTTTTGGTTACCACAAGAAATTCACAAGCCTGTTGGAGTGGGATTCGAACCCACACCCTCATGTTTAATAGTGCACTCTTCATTTGATTGACAGGAAGAACCACAGTGGGATTGAATGTGAGTTGGAGCCAATTAAGCCATCGGTGAGTAAGCTAGGTGACAAATATTTGTTGATAGAAATATAGATTTTATTTAAACTTATTTGTAGTATTGTGAATGATTTTATGAATTATAATCTCAATGTTAGTTCACATTGGCACATAGTGTTAGGTTAGCTTGACTGGTGTGATCTTTGAACTCGGGTAGATAGATAGAGTCACCTTACTTGTACTAAATTTATATTTCAACCTGGATTTCTTGTTAGATAAACTATACAGCATGTGAATCTTTTGTGGGGTAAATATTCCTGACATTGGAGATGTCTGATTTGTTCCTTTCATTTTCATTGTTTGTTTGCACACTCACAGCCAGTATTAGAGAGTTATTGCAACAAGTGTGAGTTTACCATCGGCAAGAGTGTAGATGGCATCGTTGAGTGAAACTGGCATTTATTTTTATTTATGCAATCTCTTCATTTTGTGTGTGTATGCGCTCCGTTCACAAGCACCCCCTCGCCTGGATATAAAGTGTGCACACATGTACTTAATGCACCTGTCATGAAAGCTGAACAGAAAGTTCCAGGATTTTTTTCTCAGTTATTCCTCTAATTTTTTTGTCAGGTCTTCATGAAACTTGGCCCTGGATAAATTGTGCAATAGTTTCAGTATCATGTCTTCTTATTTTCATTGACAGATAACACTGCTGGTTTCCGGCTTGGCGCTTACAAAGGTAAGTATTTCCTCTGAAGTTCCATTTTGGTAAAAGACGTAGATCAGCTTTCATGTTTGATTGGATCGGCTGTCGAGGGGCGTGGCCTATTAGTTGCTAATGCTGATCAATTCCAACCAATCAGAATGCAGCACACAGAAAGATTGACAGGTGTACATATTGTGCATTGCCTAATATGTTTGTCAGGAATTAATTATTAATAAGAAAGAAACAAGCCACAAAAGACTTAAACCCTTGTCATCCCCTTTGCTGACCAATATGTTGGCTTACTTTTGTGGCATGAATATTGCGGGTATATGTTTGTACTTTCAACATTGACCAGCAAGCTCTTTTACTCGGTAGGGATTTTTCAACAATTACATTTGTACAAGCAAGAATTAGGTTTTAAATACAAAATTCAGGAAAATCACTGTATGTTTAAATGTTGCTAGTGTACACTTTTATTTATTTTATCACTGATCTTGCTTTTACACGCAAATTTGTTTGTCCTATAAAAAGTATGTGACTTTTAGGAACATGGTTTGCCCTGCAATTTGTTTTTTTCGAATATTACTAGGTATCAGAAAGACGTAAGAGCTCAAACACCGATTTGGTGATAGTACATTTCTGTATTATTTGTGTTAATAGAGTTTTAAATTACCCAAAGAAATTGCAGCTTTAATGAACATATAAAAAGCAGCAATTCCTCGGATACTGTGCAAATTAAGATACTTCTTGTATGATGCTAACTTTACAACGACATTCATATTTTTCAGCATTGATTGATTTTTCCATTACCCAAATTCGAAGTACCCTTGAGTCCATCTATAATAAATATTAGAATATTGCTTTGCATTTAAACATCATACAGACATGGAGCTCATAATTTAATACAACAGACTAGTGGTGCTACACAGATTATGTACAATTATAGAGCATGCAAGTCTCGCCAGTTCACATTCACTTTTCATGTGAACATCTTGGTACCAAACACTGACTAGTCTAGCCACAGACTCCCGTGTTTGAATTCACCCAATGAACGGAAGTGGAGGTCCACATTTCTTCAATTTACTATAGTAATCAACTTGCAATATTTTTTTAATGTGTTGTAAATTGGAATGATTTTTTTTCTTGTTCAGAACCCATTCTTTGCCCTTGACTGGATAAACCTAGTAAAATCACCTAGGTTTTTGAGGTCAACTTGCACGCTCTATTGACAGAAGTGGAGTACAAAATGCTGACTTTAACTATCAACTACATTTTTTCCAGCTAGTAGCTGTGAGGACACCTTTAATACACCAGACTTAAATCCCATACTGTACATCTAAAGCCTACAATGGTCTCGTATATTATATATCTGTGCTCTGCAGCAAAACATCTATTTAATTGGATTTCTCCTTGCTAAAGATAGAATTTAAGAAAGTTTGAACAAAAATTCTGCACTTTATTTGGTCTGCAAAAAGTATTTTCCACGTTGTGCTACAAGTATGCACAAAGATTGGTGTAATGTATTTGGAATCAGATGCTCCTAATGCATAACTTGCAACTTTGTTGATCTGTTACTTAGGCTGTGTCTGAAACGCGCTTCTAGAGCTATGGCTACGGCTATTGTCAGATTGTTCCCATGTAATTGTTTTGGGTGAAGACCTAGACAATATAGCTCTAGCCATATCAAGTTTTTTTTAATCTGTTCATTTGTGCATCAGGTCTTGACCCACAAGATAACCATTTCACCAGCACCTCTGACGTACCGGTGACTGGCGCTGCCATAACGGATCCTTATCACTATCTGATGCAACAGCACTTCACCTCAGAGATCTTCAAGATTGAGATCCAAAACCTCCCAAGACATTTTGGATTTGCGGTGAGTTTGCTCCCTAAATATTGAACCCTCAATAACAATAACCATACAGTTTGTGCCTTTTTAGGAGTATGTATGTATTGTGCTCCATGCTTGGGGTTTGTCAAGGTCTGTTAATAACAGCATCAAAAGGCTGTAAAATGAATTTCACTAAAACATGAAATATCCCAGCCCTGTGTTTGTATGAAAGTAGTGACCACATTTTACGCACACTTTTTTGCATTGCCCGTGCACATGTTCGCAATTGTTTCTAATGTTGCTGTGATGTCGATTTAGGTATTTTACACTTCACAGCTTTGGGGTTTTCTGTATAATTTATGAACCTAAAATTCATTGCATTGTACATGTGTAAAGGTTTGTACATTTAAGCATCTCACTGGCTGCATGCTATGTGCTAATGAACGCAACAGTCACATCAAACTTGATCAAAACACTTTTGTTAACATTCCTTTCCCCTCAAACAGCAGTGACACTGAAGTTCCAGCTCATGACTTCACTGTATTTCTCATGAATATGCACCTTGGCACCATCATGAAAATATGTAAAAGCCTGAAACATCCAAAGACTTGGAATACAGAGGTGCATTTCCTAAAATTAAAACCTCCAAATCTGTTTCAAAGGCATTTAAAAAAAAATTTATTTACAGTGAAAAATTTCAGGGTTATCCATATGTTAGTACTAATACTTGTATACTTTCACACTGAAAATATAACAAACTTGCTCATTTAAAGGAAGGGTAGATCATTTGTCATTTGTGCATTTTTTTTTTGGAAGCAATGAAAGTGCTCAAAATCTAAAAACGGGTGCTTAACAACTAACACGATGAAGTTTTAGCTCTGTGAATGCAGTATATTCCAAAACTATATTCTAGGAGCTCGGGTTCAATTCAAAAGTTGCTGAGTCATGTTTTATATTGCCTCCGAATTCAACCCCAGGGACACATTCTCATTCAGTCAATTGCAGCTACGCGATGTCATGCACTGAACTGATGAATAATAGCAACCTAGTGTGCGTGTGCGTCGTGTCAACGCTTGCGCGCACATATTCATGGATTCACCGAATTTACAAACCAACTACATGAACTAACATGATGCATCTTTGGAAATAGCTTTCTTTCATTGTTTCCTTCAAAATGACAGCATGCCAGAAAGAATGATTTCACAGGGAGTTTAGTGCCATTAAAACCAAAAGCCCTTTAACAATAATTTTGTCAGTTACTTTTCTGATAGTTGCAAATGATCTACTCTACCTTTAAACACGAACAAAAGTTTGATTAAACTACATGTATTTGGGATTTGTTAATTTCTGAACCTTTTACATACATACATTGCATGAATACCAGCTGTTCCCTTTACTGATAGTTGGTAGCAATCTGCTCTGGGCAGGCCTGCACATTACTGATGTCATGGTGCGTACATGTATTGGCAATTCGCTGAAGTAAAACACATTTCAACTCCAGCATATTGTGTTGTTAATGTTTCTCTATGTTAAATCTACTTCATTGGCATTCCAATGAAGAAGATGTATGAAACGGCCTTAAATCTGCTCTACACTTTGAACACAGCAAGTTCAAAAGCAGCACTCACTCTACACACTGCTGCCCTTAAAGACAGCTTGCACTTATCAGGTA